AACGGCAAGCCAGACAAAATTAAACGGGCCTATTTATATAATGAATATGAATTCGGAGGACAGAAATTATTAAATATTAAAGCATTAGACCTATCACTAAAAGCTTCAGTCATACAAATGTTATACTTAAATCCGAACTGGTTCTCTAGCAAATTAGTAAGATTGTCTCACCCCATGTTCAAGAATGGCCTTTTTCCCTTTATTCAGATTACAACCTCTCACTTTCAGTTATTTGAAAAGGAAATCATCTCCCAAATATCACTATTTTTAAAACAAGGCATAGAAATGTGGTTTTAATTTAAATTTAATCCTCCAAAAACGACAGAACAAATAATGCAGCAAATATTGTGGTTAAACTCAAATATACTAACTGATAAAAAAACATATTTTTTGGAAAAATGCTTTAATAAAGGTATAATCTTTGTAAATGATATCATAGGTAGGACTGGTGGAGTTATGTCGCACATGCAGCTAAAAAAACCATCTGGAAATGTCTGTTCTACCCAAAATTACAACCAAATAATTGCAGCATTACCGCAAAAATGGAAGAGGAAAGTGGAAGTGGGAAAAGTAAGGAACTTACTGTCGGCCCTGCATTAAAGAACATAATTGGTTAAATAGAATTGTGATAAATAAAAAAGTATACCAGTTTCATTTAAGGACCAAAGGATTGACAGCTGTCCCATATAGATAGCAAAATAGTTGGGAAGAGATTTGTGATGTACCAATTCCATGGCATAGTGTTCATGAACTGATATGCAAAACGACACCGGATTCAAAACGTAACATTTTTCAATTTAAATTATTATACAAAATTCTTGCTACCAATATAATGTTATTTATATGGGGGATAGAATCTTCCCAGCTCTGCAGATTTTGCTGTGAAGAGACAGAATCATTAGATCATTTGTTTTGGTACTGTCCATTTGTATCTTGTTTTTGGTCACAGGTCCAGGAATGGCTGAAGGATTGCAATATTTACCTGGAGCTAACCCTGCAGATAGCACTACTGGGTGATCTGAAAAGTCATAGTCAATCGATCAATAATATAATAATACTTTTAGCAAAAATGTTTATTTACAATCTGTAGAAACAATGAGAATAGAAAGTTTCAGAACTTTTGTGAAACATCACAGTATAGTTGAAAAATATTTGGCAAATAGAAATCCAATATGGATGGTGTTAAGAGATAGATGGGAGGTGTTTAATGGAACTGAAGGATGGGACTAATAACAACTAACAACAACTAATAACAACAAGATAACTAATGTAAAGAATACTGTGTCCATAATAAGTATATAGGTTATAGGTTGAGAGCTTTTGTGAAAGAGCAGAGTTAGAAAGATATGGCATACAGAAGCAAACCGGATGGACATCATGAAAATGATTGGAGAGGTTGAGGGTAGAGGAAATTCAGGAGTAAAAACAAACAAAATATAATTATTGTAAAATTGACTGTGTCCATAAAATGTATATAGTATGTATAAGCTGGAAGTAGAGGCCTAAGCGTTGTTGTTCACTAGTTTACTCCAATTAGGGAAGGGGTGGTGGGGTTGGAAAGTACTAAAGGGAAATATTTTTATAAAAAGGATATTTGTATATATATGTGTGTATTTATATGTATGTATGTGTATATGTATGTGTATGTATGTATGTGTATATATATATATATATTTGCATGCAAAAAATCCATATGGGGGATTTGAAGTGATGCAGACAATTACATTGATAGAAGTTACAATCTATCTGCAATATTAAAGCTGATCTACCCCCCCCCCCTCAAAAATATATATATATATTTTAAAAAAAATACTTATCTTTATCCAATTAGCCTTGACCCTGTGTGAGGCCACAATGCCTGTTCAATTACATCTCCGCTATATATTATTATATGTGAGCCTTTAGAGCTTCCACCTATGGAGTGTGTCGGTTGAGTTGGACTTTACTTTAGCACAATTATCAAACTGCTGTCTTCTTCCATCCAACGCAACGCGCACACATACATCAGTCCTGACTTACGTTTCGTCCTCAGAGTGCAGTTATCTTATCCAGTCTGGCGAACCACTATAGAGAGACCTGGTCTGGATTTGCTCATAGTTACTGCCAGTTTACCGTTTCCTGGTCTGGCCTGGGGAAATGTTTAGCTTTTTGCTGTCAAGATAAAAAAACAATACTAACTAACAAATTATGAGCTTGTATTGTACTATCCCTGTCTTGAGAGAGGTGGTAATTATTTTAAATTACAGCACCTACCGTAGCACTACAGTTCCTAACACTAAAGGAAGTAGAGGCTTGCATCTACTACAAGACCATGGTGCTTGCCTACGGAGCTGTGAGGGGAACGGGACCTCCTTACCTTCAGGCTCTGATCAGACCCTACACCCAAACGAGGGCACTACGTTCATCCACCTCTGGCCTGCTAGCCCCCCTACCTCTACAGAAGCACAGTTCCCGCTCAGCCCAGTCAAAGCTATTCGCTGCTCTGGCACCCCAATGGTGGAACAAGCTCCCCCACAACACCAGGACAGCGGAGTCACTGACCACCTTCCGGAGACACTTGAAACCCTACCTCTTTAAAGAATACCTGGAATAGTATAAAAGTAATCCTTCTCCCAAAAATAATAATAATAATAATAATAATAGTGGTTGTCCCACTGGCTATCATAAGTTGAATGCACCAATTTGTAAGTCGCTCTGGATGTAAATGTAAATGTAAGTATAGGAGGGAGGAAGGAGGAGAGGGGTAACAGCTTGCTCATGTACAGTATACATAAACACATGTTCACTGAGGGACCTAGAGGCTATGTCCCAAATGGCAGCCTGTTCCCTACATGGTGCACTACTTTTGACCAGGGCCCATAAGAGCTTTGGTCAAAAGTAGTGGAATATACAGTATAGGGAATAGCGTGTCATTTGGGATGCACAACTGGATGTCTTGACATTGCAGCAGAACACCGTAGATGTGGCTTACAGAATCCTGTTGGAGAATAAATTATTTTCCATCTCTCTCTGGAAGCTCATGACTTATAACACACACCACATTCTTACATGACAACAAGTAATGTAGGATTATTTTGCAGATTGCAGACGGAACGCAAACTAACAGCTATTTTAATAGAGGCTGACACCAGTTACATTAAGCTGTCTGTTATTACAATGACTGTTGAGTTGAAGAATGAATCTCAGCTAGGTGAAAAGAGATGTACACTATAGATGAAGAAATAGAACAACAGTTAAGTCATTGTTCAGTCTAAAAAAACAAGGGATATTTTTCCATTTTAGACTAACAACAGTCTTCACACACTGTAGTGTAGCCAAACCTTGTAATAGCTCATGGGTCGTTCCAAGAAATGAGCGCCTTTTGCGTCCCTTTGATATTTTAATGAGCGCCTTTTGCGTCCCTTTGATATTTAGACCATATGGAGAATTCAATACATCTAAGTTCAGAATGTCCCTCTTCGTGGAAGATTTTAACCCACTTAATCCCAAAATGTATTCAAGTTTTCACCATCATTGTAAAGCCCTAGTTATTTTGTTGCTATGACAAAGTCATTTCTGAAGATATTATTTATTTCATGTGATCAGTGATTCATTTAAATCTATCCCTCATTTTAAGGTCAACCCTGTTACGTGAACTCAACTCTCGTTTTAATGTGGTGAAACTATTCCTTTTAAAATATTTTTTTCAAAAGAAACATTGAACATATGTAAAACCACAGTTTAAAAGCCGGTGAGCTGGTTATACTCTTTTTGGCCGTGTTCTAGTGTTTTGTGGAGGAAAAGTGAGCGGGTCGAACATAACATGTCAACCCAGTTACACATACACTACCAGTCAAGAGTTTGTACTGTAGATAGACAGGCTAGAAATGTTTTGTTGTTGTTGTGAAGCTTACTTTCAATTGCTCCTCCCTATTGCACACACCAAACTTCCATTCACCCTGTCACAAGGGGATTTATGTCTGTTTTAAGATGAAATCGTCAACCCTGTTACTTTATTTGGCACTTAATAGTCACTTACTATAAAAATTTATAATATTTAACCTCGAGATGGGACAACTTATTTTTTATGAAGTTCAACATGTGCTCTTTATGACAATGTTAAATTCGGACAAATCTTAAGTTTGTTGATCAAGTTACACTACCCAAAAGGGGTGGCAGGTACCTTAGTGGTTCTAATCCCCGAGCCGACTAGGTGAAAAATCTGTCGTGAGCAAGGCACTTAACCCTAATTGCGCCTGTGAGTCGCTCTGGATCTAAATGACAAAAAAAAAAAAAAAGAAGCCACCCAATTGGTGTAATTACCCTCATAGGATTCCCTGAGGTAAATATTTTACATGTTCACTGATTTAACAATGTGTTGTCTAACTGTCTCTCTCTCTCTCTCTCTCTCTCTCTCTCTCTCTCTCTCTCTCTCTCTCTCTCTCTCTCTCTCAGAGTTTCAATGCTCCTCCACTTTCTAAGATGAAGTTATGGAAAGGTGCCACTTTTGTCTTCATGTTCTGTGGTGCGTTACAGTCCCTCCACCTTACTAGAAACATCATGGCTACTGCTGGACCTTCATCATCATCGTCGTTGTCATTGTCATCAAAATCATCATCAAAACCACAGTCGCTATCAGTGACAAAGCAAATACCACCACCACCGTTGTCATCATCATCATCACCATCATCATCACCACTATCATCATCATCTTCCTCGTCGTCCTGGATGAAGGCTGGTCTCCACAGAACAGTGCGGGCGGTAGACACCATCAGCTCTCTCTCCCAGTGTAAGTTAAGATAAACTGTTTTTGTCTCCCCAGCGACCAGGGTGTTTTAGATGAGGTGGCGTGGTGAGGGATTGTCGTGGCACTGACAGCGGGGCTTAGTGACTCTGGTTGCGTCCCAAATGGCACCCTATTCTCTATGATGTGCACTACTTTTGACCAGACCCCTATGGGCCCATGGCCCTAGTCAAACACAGCCAGTGTGTCGTTGACATAAGGACAGAGTCACGTCTTTATGCTTCACAATAACCTGCCATCACCTCACACATCACCTCATACCTCACTGCACTGCCAAGGGGTGGTAGGTTTAGAGTAGAAATAAAGCCAACCGGTAGTGCTATAGTTACTGTCGAACACATGAACCCTCAACACAGCTTTTTATGAGGCTTATAATGTGTAATGTATTCCTATGCAGCAATATAAAAAATACAAGAAGTTATTATTGCTGAAAGTCACCTGAATGTGGAAGATGTTTCGGTTTGAGGCCTGAGGGGACTAATAGATAGTTGTGATCTCAAGCCTCCCTGTCCCTGTATCCTGTCCTGCCTGTATCTGTCTGTCTTCCTCACTTTAAACTGTTTATCGCTACCCTGCCCTGCGTGTCTCTCTCCCTGCCTCACTTTCATGACCCCTCTCCCTCTCCCTGCCTCTCTGTCCCTCTACCTGCCTCTCTCCCCCTACCCTGTCCTGCCTGTGTCTATCTCCCTGCCTCACTTTCCCTGCCTCTGAACCTCTACCTGACAGTTGTCTTTTTGTCTCCCCAGTGTCCCGTCTGCTTCACTGAACCCTGGTCTGTCTCCCTGCCCCTCTCTACCTCTATCTAACTGTTCTCTCTATGTCTCCTCAGTGTCCCACCTGCTCCAGAGCTTCACCGAGGGAGAGCTGAAGAAGGTGATCGGTACTCTGATGGACAGGAGTAGCAGGAGCAGGAGGAGGAGCGGCAAGAGCAGCAGGGAGGAGTTTCTGGAGAAGAGCCAGGAGAGCACCCAGAGGACTAAGAGAGCTAAGAGGAGGAGGAGGAGGTTAAAGCCGTGCTCTCTGCAGGAGGTGGAGGTGACGGTGGGAGAGCTGGGGCTGGGCTATGACAGCGACGAGACTCTCCTCTTCAGGTATTGCAGCGGCAGGTGCACCGCGCACCGACGCAACTATGACATCACCCTGGAACACATGAGGAGGGCGGGGCTCATTAAAAAGGGGAGGAGAGACAAGGTGCTGTACAGCCCGTGCTGTCAGCCAATCACGTACGAAAAGGATATCTCCTTCCTGGATAACAACAGTAGGTACCACACGGTGCAGGAAGTGTCGGCTAGGGAGTGTGGATGCGCCTGACCATGGGGAGGGGTATATTGAACATTGAATAACGACCACATCCACTGAACCACCTGCTACTGTGATGCGCTCTGTCTGTCCCCATGAATACAGGGTACTGGGATGACAGCATAAGAGGATGATGTCTCGGTGTGGATACTTTTCAGGAGGGTGCAACGTAATGACTGTATATGAATAGACAAAGTCATCAGCCACGTGACACCATTCATTCCTATGTGAAAACTCAATAGCGCATTGAAGCCAAATGAAGTCGGTTAAGAATGCGTCTCATGGATACATGACATGCGCAGTTTGAGCTACTCCAGGAAGTGATGTTGCAGGCTAGCTCAGTGCTGCCCCCTCTCATTGAGTAACTGAAGTTGAAAGCCAACCGGGGTACTGCAGGCTGTCATTAGCAACTAAATTATCCGTATAATTTCTTCTGTGTGCGATTTTTTAATAATCTGTTCAAGGACATACATCTGGCGTATTAGAATTAATTATTGGTACCATGATTGTCTTCATAATTTTTTTTTTTTACACAAAGATTGACCATGAAGATTGACATTTTCCCGTTCCCAATAATGGGGGATCCTGTTTTCTGCAAACAATGCCTACAGTATTGTGGTCGGCCTTGAACTGCCGTGGCTTCAATGAGAGGAGGCAGTCGTTGTCACCTGGTACAACGTTAAAGAAAGTTCAATAAGCTCTGTATCGTATGGAACAGAATTGATTGTCTGTCATGTATTTCCTTTGGATGCTGACCATAGATACTGTATAACAGCAGAACAGGATAATGTCTCTGGATGTGGATCTGTGTTGATGTACTTCAACCGGTTGCGAACATTCTGGCGTGAAAGACCAGACTTTTGTGGCTGTGCGTGACCTCTGACATGGGGCCTGTTCAGGAGGGCGAACGTTCAGATAAAAATGAATGTTATGGAACAGATATGATTGTCTGTCATGTGGAATATAGGGACTGGAGCCAGCTCTATATATTACATTTCTATCTGCAAGGTTATGAACCTTGAGGTTTCACCTCATTCAATGTCAATACGCCTCCTGGTGGCGTAGGAGCTGCAGGACATCCATGTAGTCAAGGACAAGCATGTAAATATTTGTATTTTTAGTTTATTTGAAAATAACCAACTTTTCAAATACTCAAGGTAGTCGAAAGGTAGTCAAATATAGAGAATCAACTAAAGGCAATTAATTCCTTTGATATTGAAATACAGGTCTCAGAAAAACAAATCATATTTTAAAGTATTTTAAATACCTCTCAGAAAAATCAATAATATTTGAAAGTATTTGAATATGTGCAAGTTACTTGAATATAAAATATTTTATGAAGAAATAAAAAGTACAACAGTTAGTTTAATTAGTCTAAATATATGATCATTAGCATTGAGGCATGTAACTGGATCTACACAACAAATAACCTGGGACATGGACTTATGATAAGAAATTTTTAGGCCTGAAAACGTCTGATGAATGTCACTTTAAGAAATTTAGCTAGATCTATGAAACTGTTTGTGAGGGACATGGACTCATCTCAACAGAGTAGAACACAGTTTTTAAAATGAGTGAGACATAAGGCAATACACTAACAGTTGACATCAAGTTCTTATACATATGTAGTAACTTTATGGTTACTACAATAGTTACATAGGACTTTAGAAATTGCTTTAAAATTGCATAACAATGGAGTTATTACACATGTTGAATAAGGAACAGTCACTGATCCTCGTGTCCTGTAGTTACAAAAACTCAGCTAATTGCTATTCAATTAAAATGCAATTACCCAAGAGTTATGTAGCAACATGCTAATAAAACAATGCTCTGAAAGTCATTACAGTGTTATTAAACAGGCACAAGAAACATTTAATGTTAAGTGTTACTGAGAATAATAATAGTAAAAAAGAAATATGGCTATTATGTGTCAAAGGGAAATATCCATGTCTTCTTAAATCAACTACAGTCAGTAAACTATCCCTTAAAAGATGGTACAGTTTGTGTTGAAACAAGAACAATTTCATTTGATTACCTACACCTGGGGCCTGTTCAGGAGAATGGAAATTTACATAATGTTCAGATAGAAATATATTGCAGATCAAATATCATCCACTGTCAGATGGATTAGAATATTATAGGAAATTGTGTGTGCTCTATTCAATCTATTTCTATCAGCAACATGCCATTCCAGAAACAGCCCTACTATTAGTTGAAAGGGAAAGGGAAAGGGGGATACCTAGTCAGTTGTACAACTGAATGCATTCAACTGAAATGTGTCTTCCGCATTTAACCCAACCACTCTGAATCAGAGAGGTGCGGGGGGCTGCCTTAATCGACATCCACGTCATCAGCACCTGGGGAACAGTAGGTTAACTGCCTTGCTCAGGGGCAGAACGTCAGATTTTTACCTTTTCAGCTCGGGGATTCGAAGGCAGCCAATCCAATCGTTTCTGAAAAGTAACTTCCTGTACTCAAATATATTTTTAAGTAGTTGCTTTCTCAGATCTGTAAACAAATAGTTTTAAAAAGTAGTTACTTTCTGTGATCTGTATTCAAATAGTTTTGAAAAAGTATACTGGGCGAAAAGGGTCAAATTCAAAGAATATCTTTAATGCCACTTAGCAGACACTTTTATCCAAAGCGACTTACAGTCATGTGTGCATACATTTTTATGGGTGGGTATGGGTGGTCCCGGGGATCGAACCCACTACCCTGGCGTTACAAGCGCCATGCTCTACCAATTGAGCTACAGATATATCCAGATATCTGACATTTTATTAGATATAAGGAGTAGACGTGCTCCAGATTCACAAGTCCTTAATTTCACATATTGAGCTAGGATATTCTCCGTAATGGGACAGTTTCTACATGCATCCAATCCGTACCTCAGAAATCTCCCTGCTACCGTATGAATCCAGGGAGATATCTGGGGTGAGATCCCTTCAAGACACTCCCCTGATGCGCGTGCACCCACTTATATATTTGTAGAATATTTTAACTCCGGAAAGGGTATGTGTCAACATGCTGACATATCTTTTATACTTTGGAATGAATCCACAAACTTTCAGAAATGTATCATATCTGTAGTCATTACCTGATCATTTATGGATCCGTACAAAAACATTTTTAAAAATAATTTCAATAGATATCCTTACATGATATGTAATATTCATCCTGATATGTCTTATTGAAAATGGGCTAAATCTGACTTATGATCAATGTCCAGCCTCCAAATTATACTACCTGTTCAGGTGCCGAAAATCATTGTGCTTCGTCAAATGAAGGTGATATAACTGCATACAGTGGCTTGCGAAAGTATTCACCCCCCTTGGCATTTTTCCTATTTTGTTGCCTTACAACCTGGAATTAAAATTGATTTTTTGGGGGTTTGTATCATTTGATTTACACATCATGCCTACCACTTTGAAGATGCAAAATATTTTTTTATTGTGAAACAAACAAGAAATAAGACCAAAAAAACATAAAACTTGAGCGTGCATAACTATTCACCCCCCCAAAGTCAATACTTTGTAGAGCCACATTTTGCAGCATTTACACCTGCAAGTCTCTTGGGGTATGTCTCTATAAGCTTGGCACATCTAGCCACTGGGACTTTTGCCCATTCTTCAAGGCAAAACTGTTCCAGCTCCTTCAAGTTGGATAGGTTCCGCTGGTGTACAGCAATCTTTAAGTCATACCACAGATTCTCAATTTAATTGAGGTCTGGGCTTTGACTAGGCCATTCCAATACATTTAAATGTTTCCCCTTATACCACTCGAGTGTTGCTTTAGTAGTATGCTTAGGTTCATTGTCCTGCCTGAAGGTGAACCTCCGTCCCAGTCTCAAATCTCTGAAAGACTGAAACAGGTTTCCTTCAAAACTGTCCCTGTATTTACAGTGAGGGAAAAAAGTATTTGATCCCCTACTGATTTTGTACGTTTGCCCACTGACAAAGAAATGATCAGTCTATAATTTTAATGGTAGGTTTATTTGAACAGTGAGAGACAGAATAACAACAAAAACATCCAGAAAAACGCATGTCAAAAATGTTATAAATTGATTTGCATTTTAATGAGGGAAATAAGTATTTGACCCCCTCTCAATCAGAAAGATTTCTGGCTCCCAGGTGTCTTTTATACAGGTAACGAGCTGAGATTAGGAGCACACTCTTAAAGGGAGTGCTCCTAATCTCAGTTTGTTACCTGTATAAAAGACACCTGTCCACAGAAGAAATCAATCAATCAGATTCCAAACTCTCCACCATGGCCAAGACCAAAGAGCACTCCAAGGATGTCAGGGACAAGATTGTAGACCTACACAAGGCTGGAATGGGCTACAAGACCGTCGCCAAGCAGATTGGTGAGAAGGTGACAACAGTTGGTGCGATTATTCACAAATGGAAGAAACACAAAATAACTGTCAATCTCCCTCGGCCTGGGGCTCCACGCAAGATCTCACCCCGTGGGGTCAAAATGATCACAAGAACGGTGAGCAAAAATCCCAGAACCACACGGGGGGACCTAGTGAATGACCTGCATAGAGCTGGGACCAAAGTAACAAAGCCTACCATTGGTAACACACTACGCCGCCAGGGACTGAAATCCTGCAGTGCCAGACGTGTCCCCCTGCTTAAGCCAGTACATGTCCAGGCCCGTCTGAAGTTTGCTAGAGTGCATTTGGATGATCCAGAAGAGGATTGGGAGAATGTCATATGGTCAGATGAAACCAAAATAGAACTTTTTGGTAAAAACTCAACTCGTCGTGTTTGGAGGACAAAGAATGCTGAGTTGCATCCAAAGAACACCATACCTACTGTGAAGCATGGGGGTGGAAACATCATGCTTTGGGGCTGTTTTTCTGCAAAGGGACCAGGACGACTGATCCGTGTAAAGGAAAGAATGAATGGGGCCATGTATCGTGAGATTTTGAGTGAAAACCTCCTTCCATCAGCAAGGGCATTGAAGATTAAACGTGGCTGGGTCTTTCAGCATGACAATGATCCCAAACA